AAAGTTAACACCAACTCTTCAATTTTTAATACGAAACATGGAATAAATAACGGTTTTAATAAATAATTCCACTGTATAAAACGCACTAGGGATAAAACGACTGCTCATAATTCCGTCAGGCGTTTGACCGCAATATTGTGGTATCGATTAATTTTAAAGGGGATTTTAAAATGAAATTAATTATAAACATAGATTTAATTAAATTAGATTAGCATAAATAAAAAAATAAATAATAGTAACATATTTACAACCTCATACATCGGTAATATTAACCAAGCGTTATTACGACATTATGCTAATAAAATATAAACCCAAATATTTAGTTTCCCCTTTGAAAGAAGCACCTAAAATAAAATCAAAAATTAAAATTAACGAACATTTCCTTAAATTTTAATTCATAAAATAAATAAATCAAATTCCTCACCCATCGATGTTTTCGATGTTTTTCACCCAAAACATCGATGAAACATCGATGTTTTTAAAAATTAAAAAAATATTTTTTAAATTATTAAAATGCACACTTGTGGTTGTATTAAAAATAGAAAAACAAAACATTTATTCACTGATTTCAAAAAAGGAGATCATTTCTTAAATTAAGCTAAACATTTTTTAAAAAAAATGGTTTTTGTTAATAAACATAAGTTGGTCAACAACATCAGCCTTTAGGCGCGTCCTGCGGTCGAAATAATTTGCCCCGCCTTGCTGAAGGCTCTTTCTGACTCGCAGGAGTGGCGGGCACATAGAAATTTTTTGCCACTTCTTTCTGCCGTTTTACGTACCTTTCCTTTGCCTTTTTCTCTTGATAGTGACGTCACTGAAACATCGATGGTTGAAAAAAAACATCGATGATTTCGAAAAATTTCAAAAACATCGATGCATCGATGTTTTCATCGATGTTGCTGCACCTCTATTAAATATACAAATTATCGATAATTATATATTTTTGTGTACATGTGACAACCCTATTACTCAAGCCGTTGTTGTTCATTTAATTAAGCCAATATTATTTAGAAAAGGTACGCTCACGCCCTAGAAAACAAAATAAGCTGGCTAAATTCAAAGAAAATATTAAAGTATAGCACTCAGAAGTAACTAGTAATAGGAGAACTGAAAAAAACGTCTCGTTGAACTGTGTTTTCGCTTACCTTAATATTTGGGCGTTGACGCTGTCACGCATTCCAAATAAATGTGTGATTTTAAAGTGATAATTAATATTTCCTGGTAACTCTGTACAGAACCATGGTCGTGCTGAGTTCCTGCTGGTCTCCCATCATTTGGTCAGATAATGTCCGGACGGGAAGTTACGCCGTAGCCGCCTATACGGCTGCGCTGTCCGCCGTGCTCATCACGTTGATTTCTTATATGCTGGCGGGCGGGGAGTCTGGGCAGCTGTACTCACCACTTTTTGAAACTGATATCAGGACATCAATGCCCGTGGCAGGGGGATTCTTCATCATCTACTTTCTTCTGATCATCCTAGCCTCCTACTTTGTCTATTACGGCATTAAGATCAGGTTTGTATAGCTGGAATCATAAATGACAGGTCCTCTAATAATGGTTATATATATTCCTTAGTACTCGGGGATGGCTGCTCCCATGGCTGGGCCTCATTGGACTGGCCATTCTCTTCCAGTTTTGCTGGAGTCTTTGGCTTATTGGAGGCTACTACATTTATGTAAGGGCAGGCTGCTCTACTTTTAAACTAAAACTTATCCTTGCTTTATTTTGTCCCCCAGCTGGAGCAAACCTTTTCGGCTCTTATAAACTTCGTTTGGTGTGCCTATAATGTAAGTTGTAAAAAATAAAACTTATCATTGCCAGACATAAAAAATTTCATCAAAACTTTATGGACGTATAATTAAAAATCATAATTTGAAACGTTTTTAGAAATCCCTAAATCTAAAAGAAAATAATTTCATATGTATATATACGTTCGCAAAATATAGTACAATTTTTGAGATCCCATTCTATCTCCTTAGATCTACTGCTGGCTTGTGGTCTTCTCGCAGTACCAGATCTTCTTGAAAATCCAGAATCCGAACATTGAGCTGCTGATGCCATAATGGAATCTCTTTCAACCATAAGCTTGATTAATCTATAAGAATACTTTTGACCGTCCAAACGCATTTTTTACAATAAGAATTCCATTCATTTACACAGATGCCTACCAAATAGTTTTATATAAATTTATATATTTTACACACCTTTATACACGATCAACTATACTAATGTATAAAATCGAATGCCTTAGTCTGCTAAACGACAATTAAACAAATAGATTCGTAAAACTACTAGATCGTTGCAAATACTGGGTCCTTGGGGCCAAGAAATCATTGTGGGTTTTGAATATCAACGTTTATTACCGTAAATTAAGTTTAAGTGTACTCTAATTATACGAGTTTGTGTGTGTTTACATCGAGAAAGTTATTATTTGTACAGAAACTTTAAATGGAAACTTACGACCTTTAACCACTGAAGCAGGGGATCAAAACTGGATGAAAGAAATGGAAACCGGAGAGGGAGCGGGTATGCGCGGGTCATTAAATGTACATTACAATAATTCTTAGGATCGAATAATTTACAGAGCCTGGTGTTTGACACAGAGCAATGGGCTGATTTCGCAGGAGGAGTCCACTAGGTCTTCTCCTCCTTCTCCTTGTTGTAGCGCTCCAGTTCCTTAAGGAACTGCGCCTTGGGCTTCATCACGTTGGGCCGTTCTCCACGGCAGTTGGGGCAGAACCACTTGCCCTTCGGCTTCAGCACCAGGGAGACACACGAGAAATGGAACCACTCGATGGGGCACAGGTCGTTGTCGCACAGGATCATTTCACCAAAGGAAATCTTGAAAAAAAATTGAATTAGATTCAAGGATTTAAGAATATAAGACTTTTTATCTCACCTGATTGCAGACACAGTAGGTCGGCTCGTCCGGATCTATTGTCTCCGGCGGCGGCGTCTCCTCACGCGTACTGGTATTGGCATTTGAAGCCCCGGAGCCGCGTACCTTGCGTTTCTTTTTCTTGCCGGAGTTGTTGCCGCCACCTACCACTCCTGCTCCACTGCCGCTAGCACCACCGCCTCCTGTTGCCACACTGCTTGTAGCCGCGGAACCGCTGGCCAGACTGCTGGCCGCCGCTTGTAGGTTGGCCTTACGTCCCAGTGCCGCTCCGTTGCCGCCGCCCAACGACGATTTGCGCTCTCCACTACCTCCGCCGCTGCCACTGGCTTCATTAGCCGAATTGGACTCGTTGCCGCCCATCTCGAGGGAGCTACCGTTATTGACCAGGCTCTCGTTTCGCCTCCTCGAGCGCTTACTGCCCGTGCGCTGCAGATCTCCGCCAGCGCCAACTCCACCGCCGCTGACGTTGCCATTGGAGCCGTTGTTGCCGCCGTTGCTGACATGGCTGGAGCGCTCCGAGTTGGGTGTGGAGCGCCCGCCGTTGCCGGAGGGCATGGCACTTGAACCGGGCACAACACCGCCTGGATAGCCGACCAAGGCATAGTGATCCTTAGCCGAAAGCAGGCCATTCCCGTTTAGGCCACTATTACCCATTGCCGCTTGGTTACCCTGCTCCCTCATCGGGCTCTGCAGGCGCTGCAGCTTTGATGGCTGGCCGTCCTCCAAGAGCGTCGCATACCGATCGCGCTCCTCTTTCAGGTCCAGGTTTTGCTGGTCATTGTCCAGCTGGCGCAGCTTGCCGTCGATTATCTCCTGCATGTGGTTAACTATCTGCATCTTCTCGTCGCCCAGCTCCTGGGCTTGGATGAGGCTCTGATGCATTCGGGAGATACTCCGAGATCTTCGTCCGGCATCCGGGGAGTTCTGCAGGGACAAATACAGGTCGTAGTAGTGGTCCACGTCTCGGATGAGCCCTGCAAAAAGGAAAGGATGGGGAGGCGGTTAGGTTTTCCCGCTCTCTGCCCGGTTTAATCTCCGCCAGAACTCACCTCTGTATTGCACATCTATGTCGCGGATGCGGGACAACTGGCGCTGCACGTCGTCAGGCAGATTCTCCACGGAATCGATGTAGTTGTCCACATAGGTGGCCGAATTGATGGCCTCCGATTCGGATGCAATGGGGTTTATCATGTTGTTTGGGCTGCGAGTCGCTCTATTCCTGCCGCGACATCGGCTTGGGTACGTGGGATCGTCTGGGAGCTGCTCGTCCGTCGCTCTAGAAGGGATCGGCTGGATGAATATGTGTCCAATAACACTAAGATCCAACTTTTTGTATGGCGTTGCGAGTCCCAACTTGCGACTGTACTCGTGTGTGCGTGTATGTGTGCGTAGGTATTATTGCAGATATATGTATGTATACAATGGGTGGCACTTTGCAACACTGGTCATCTGGTAATTTGCAGCACTAAAATAAGTGCCCCTAACGGCACTGCCTTGGAATGAACTTTAAATATTATTTTGTTCAAATATTTTATAAAATACTTTTGAGATAGATTTCATTTTTTTACTTATTATAATTTAATATTTTAGCTTATATCCCCCAAACCGTTTTCTTGAACTGTTTTTGGAAATAAGACTAACAATAAACACTGGAGTTTATAATTTTATAAATGTATTTATTACCTTTACAAATTTATTTTAATACCGGAGAAATGAACAAGAGTGCTGGAAAACACACTTGATACAAATAGGGTGTTTGATTGTGCGGTAAATTTCCGAAAATTTGAATAAAAAAGGAATTACCCGCAATTTAAATTTATATATATTAAATTTTATTAAAAATAAAACTACTCAACTACTTTATTTGTTACTTTGATCATTCTTCACTATACAAATATATTGTTTTTATTAAATAAAGTATATATCAAATTCCATAAATTAAATTGGTATTCTTAATTTGTAACACAATATTCACGCTTAAAAAAAAATATTTATATACCGTGTTTTGTAGTTGAGTTTAATTTCATATTTTCATCTCAAATAAGACATACAAATGCAATACCCACAATTTAACAACTGAAAAATGTATAGAATTTTATAATTAAATTAAATTTGATATTCTTTATTTCAGATATTTGTATACAAGTTTTATGTATAATTTAACAATTTAAGTCAAGTCCTTTCTTCAATCAGCCTACCCCTGTTTATCGTTATTAAATGCATTATATTCCTGGTTTTGGAATGTAATATTATTATGAGTAAGAAATTCACATTTTTTTCAAATTTATATATATGACTTCAATTTTTTCTCTTTTAAGACTTTGGCACTTGCTAATTGTGCAGTTCTCATTAAATTTTAAAGTAATGTGCCATTTAAGTAAATGAGTGTAAATATGTATATATATACCAAAAAAAATGCGTTTATATGTGCATTTCTTCCTGAGTTTTGGTACCTCTTGAGCATTTGATTTAAGCCTAATTAAGTGATGTGTTGTCAGAGATTCTAAAGAAAATTGTATAATATTGTGCTTAAGATTTATAAGTTCAAAAAATCGTTAAGTGTTTTCTGCAGTCCATTATATTCCGCTTCCTGAGCTTTTAGCACGTTATTCTTGTGCATGTTGCTGTTGTAGTGTTTGGTTAGATTATACCTATGACGATAGTGAACATCACAGAATTCACAACTGCCAGAAAAATGAAAAAATAAGTTAAATAGAGATATCCAGGATCTATTTGGGAACCTACCAGTAAGGACGTTCTCCAGTGTGTACCAACTGGTGTTCCGCTAGTTTGCAGCGCAGCAAGAATCCTCTGAGGCAGAATTCACAGTGATACGGAAACTTATCGTGTTTTACACGATGCCGCCTCAAAGCGGATGGGTCTGCAAACCCACGGCCGCAAACTTTGCATTTGAAGGGCCTGGTTCCGTTGTGGGAGTTCATATGATAACTTAGAGCGTTCTTGGAGGTGTAACTCTTTGTGCACTTGGTGCAAAAGTGTCGACCGACGGCTTCAGTCACTTTATGTCGCGTCAGGATGCGATTTTCTGCACCATGGACTTCCCTGTAATGATTACAATAAATTAAATAAAAAGCTTTTTATTTATTTATTTTCATTTGTACCTCTCGTGCCTGTGACGACCGCTTCCGCTTGCGAACGACTGGTTGCAATGGTTGCATGGAAATGGTTTAACCCCCTTGTGTCGCACCTTTAAGTGAATGTTGCGGGAATAGGAGTCGTAGAACTTCTTTGGGCACTCGGGACAATCAAAGTTTTTGGTGCTATTGTGCCGGAGCAGGTGCATCTGCAGCTGGCCAGATTGACGGAAGGAGTGACCACACTTATCGCAGACATGATTTAATGGCTTGGCCTGAACCCTTTCGCGCCGTCTTCTTTTCTTTTCCTCCGCGCTTAACCTTGGTTTGTATTTTGGCAAAGGCAGCGAATACTTTGGTGGTTTGTCTTTTGGTTCAGAGGGCTTGGTCTCATCTTTGCGATTGCATTCACTTAGCACTACCTTATAGACCTGGGCTCCGGGAGCCACCATGTTTCCAATCTCCTCTTTAGTTGCACACTTTGTAATGCTTACAATCTCATTGCAAGCATGCTTTGGCTCTCTCGATGATTTTTTTTCTTCCAAGAAGTTATCAGTTTCCTTTAGAGGGAATATTAAATCTTCATTCACGGATCTCTCATCTTCTTCAAACGATAAATCATTTGACTCTAGTTCTAGTGGGAAGTCCTCTTCATCTAGCACACACTCACTGTCCGACCAAAAATCAATTTTTAAATCTACTCCCAAAGCTGCATTGGACTGCTGGGCGGACTGTTCGTAGAGGACATTTTCTAGCTCCGACTCCATTTCGTCATCACAATTTTGGAAATAATTTTTAAAGACTGGTTCTGTACTTTGGTTAAGGTTTTTATCAATCTGAATGCATTTATCACGGAAAGCAATAGATCTCTTCAGCGCATCCTGGCAAGTTTCGCAGATGTGATGAGGTAATATTTGCACTCCTCTTTGTATCTGCGTAGAACAAAAGAGTTTATTAATAAAAATAAATATAATTTGTAATAAATAATATATAGTAAATGATGGGTCGATGAATAAATTGATATTTATTGTAATTTTGTGGTTGTCGGAAAAAATAGTTATTTACTTTAGTTAAAAGTTAATAAATGTTAAAATTTTGTTAAAACTTTAAATGTCTTAGGTAGCCATAATTTAATATAAACAAAAATTCGTTTCATATTTTTTAAATTTTTTTATATTATTCCTTGAAATGTTAACAAAGCGTAAGGCGTAAAATTTTAAAATTAGTAGAATAAATCGACCCACCCTTTGAGCGACCTACCCACACTCCAGTGAGCGACTCTATGTCGTAGCGAAGCCCAACGTTATCCTTGTCGTAAAGGTCCTTGACATTGGTGTTTAGTGATAAGATTCGAAGGCAAGTGCGGCACTTGCTTCCTGGGAGCTGATCTGAGTTCTGGGTTACACTGCTTTCTTCGTCGGAGTGGCTATCAAAGAATGCACTGTCTTGAGTGGGAGTGGCAATGGTGGAAACAGTGGGAGTGGCATCACTATCCTCCGCCTCAGCCAAGAGCAGCTCAGCCAGCTTTTTGTTCTTCTGCCTTTCCACATGGCCTTTGTTTTTGTATGGCAGGTTTCCCTTTGAACACAAAAGATATGTATGTATATATGTACGTGATTAGAATATAAAAGGTGCACAAGAGGAGTTTGCGAGACACACCCATTTTAAATCACTGGCTGCCCTGGAAGACCTCATCTTTAAAAAGTTCGCCACAGATAATGGGATTCCTCCAGATTCGGCAGGGCTGGGTCGTTTTTTCTGTGGAAAGTCTCGCGGGCACTTGGAAAAGTGGAGAAAACGGTGTGGTGTTTACCGGGATCTTTGGCTACGTTTTTGTATACGGGTCTGTTGCCGCAGATGCGAACTGCGCACTTCATCCTTTGCCGGCAAACTGCGAAAATTCTGCAAAACAGCAAGCCGGGTTTGCAGGGCTGCACATCATCGAAGTAGGGGTTGCTACCAGGGCTGCGGACATGTGCGTAGCCAGAATAACTTCTTAGGGGGATGCGATTGTAATAAATAATCTCGATCTCTAGGGTAAATTGGTTTGGGTTCTTTATAATAATTTTGCCATTCATTTTACTATTTCAAGAGCTCATTTATTTTCCAAATGTAAATATTTGTATTTAAATTGGAAGTCTTTACATGGGCCTGTACTTTTCAACGGCCACTACTGTACATTGAGAACTAGTTTGCTCACATGGCGCGAATTTTAAATATTCCATTTGGTTACTTGTTTTAAAAAGTTCAAAAAGACAAATCGTTTTTTAACAAATTTTCTTAGTACAAAAAATTATAAATAAGTAAACTTTAAACTTACTTATTTCATTTTTCTAAGATTTTAACAGTTTAATAACCAAAACAAAATGTGAACAAGTGCTTCACTTATCCTCCAGCAAAGATGTGTCTGCGCCATATAGTATTTTCGCCTGCTTCTCGACTCTCGATTGGTGATGTTTGGATTTGAAGTGGGTCCGCAGACTGTTCTTCCGATTGAAATGTGACTGGCACAGCTCGCAGCTGAAGAGAAAAAAAATTAATAAAGATTAAAATATTACGCCGGGCATAGAATGCTACTACTAACTGGTATGGCTGTTCGCCTGTGTGCACCACTCTGTGGTGGTTAAGCATCCTTTTTTTCTTAAAAGCCTTATTGCAGACATGACACACGTACGGCCTGTGGTCGGGGCTCTCTTTGTGGTTTCGCTCGTGGTCCAACCGCCTGAGGCAGTTGTTAAACCGCTGGCCGCAGTACTTGCACACATAAGGCTTTTCACCGCGATGCTTGATCCGTACGTGCAGATTGAGCAAATGTTGGGAGATCTCCCTACGGTCGCATTCCTTGCACTGGTACTCTCTGATCCCCAAATGCCGCTTGAGGTGCAGATTGAAATTGCCTTTTTCGGTGAAGGATCTGCCGCACTGATCGCAGAAAAATTCCACTTTTTTTCTTTTGGAAGATGGTACTGCTCTCACGCCTTCTTGACTTTTGTATTCCTCGTCGATGACTTCTTGGTTTCCATAGTCCTCTTCTATGACTTCTTGGTTTTTGGAGTCCTCAGGATCCTCATTTGAAAGAAGAGGCTCGTTCATTTCCTTAATAATGTCCTCGCATCTCAGGGGATCCATTAGATCGACAGAAGAGGGTACAGGGCCAGCCAATTGATAAATTATGTTTTCTATGGTCGTAAACCGAGTCTCATCCAGTTTTTTAATGCATTGCCTTGAAGTCTTCGCCGGTACAATTTTTGTTTGTTTTTGTGAGATATTAATTGGTTTGATCTTCACCTGGCTAATATCAATACGGCTTTCTGGATCTACAATATTAACAGAAGAAACTTCAGGTTCGGCAAAAAACCTAACAAGGTTGTCTCTTGACTTAAACGCAGTCTCATCTGGTTCCCTAGTGCGTTGTGTTGACATCTTCCTTACAGAGGGAACATCAGGGTCAGAAAAAAAATTTATAAGGTTTCCCATGGTCTTAGACGGAGATTCATTTCGTTTCCTGGAGCGATGTGGTAGAATCTTCCTTGGCACAGGTACTTTTTGTTTGTTCACCTGGCTAATATCCTGGGGCCTAAGGGACTTCACGACATCAACAGAAGCGACTTCGGAGCGAGAAAAAAAATTAACTAGGTTGCATATGATCTTCTCGGCCGGTTTCCTTGTGGGTTGTTGTGGCATCTTCCTCAGCACAGCCATTTTCGGTTTATTCACTTGGATAATGTCCTCGCACCTTAGTGGATCCACGGGACCAATACAAGACACGTCAGTCAAATCCGGTCTCCAGCTGCGTTGTGATGAAATCTTCCGCAGCACAGCCATTTTTGGTTTCTGTGAGGTATCAAATGGCACAAGTTGCACTCTAATTTCTTTTTTGTCACTGTCGTACTTCATTGGAGTACCTAAATCCGATTGCGCGTCCTGTGTCTCGACCCAAGAGTCGTTTGTTTTTAATGGCACTTGTTGCACTGTAATTTCTTTTCTGTCAATATCGGTTTTCAATGGAGGGGCTAAGTCCGCTTGTGAGCCCTGTTCCTCGAACCAAGAGTCGTTTGTTTTAATGCAGCGCTCCCGGAAGGCAATGGCTTTGTTGAGGTCTCGCAGACAGGATAAACAAATCCTTGAAGGCACACCGGGCTTGTCACTTAACTGGAATCGAATATGGCCCTGTGACCATTAAGAGTTTTCACCTATTGGTGTAATAGTTTACCCAAATCCCCGTCAGCTTCAGGATATTTTGCAGGACGTCGCTGCCTTTCATGTCGAAGAGACTCCTAGCGTGCTCCGCATCCTGGCTACAGGTGCGACACAGCACGGTCATTTTGCTGCTCTTCGCTTCTCTTTTACTTTCAATTTAATTTGTTGGTCTTTTGTTACCCAAAAAAACCGCTTCTGGGTAAATGACGAAATATTGCAGTCGACGCCTTGTGAATGACAAATTTAACACCGGGCTACAAAAATGTAGTTCTTGGGTAAATATTTGAAGATACCTGTTGATTCTCTTAATTAAATTTGGAACATAACATATAGTAGTGTGCAGAACTTTCAATAAAAAGGGGTGATGTGTACAGTAATCTTTAATTACACTTATAAAATGGTAGGTACTTTATTTTTTAAGCTTACTATCTTATTTGATAAGTTATAGTATCACCAGTGTGCATTTCAATTTTCGGTATCAATGGTGGGAAACGCTCAAAATAAATTGAAGAAAGTTGCTTTTAAATTAAATACCAAATTTTTCATAATTTTTCAGACCCTTTGTTAAATTAAAATGGAAACAATGTTCTACTCAACATCCAGCACAGTTTTGTCCCCGACATCCTGTTTCTTCGCCTGCTCCTCGACTTTCTTCTGATGCTGCTTGGATTTAAAGTGGGTAACCAGGCTGTTCCTTCGATTGAAGTGCGTCTGGCAGAGCTCGCAACTGAAGGTTAAGCAAATTAGTAAGGATCCAAACAGTTTGACCAAAACTTACTGGAATGGCTGTTCGCCTGTGTGAACTACGCCGTGTTTTTTGAGAACATCCCTTGTCTTGAAGGCCTTCTTGCAGATGGGGCAAACATGAGGTCTTTGGTCGGGGCTTTCCTTGTGTTTCCGTTCGTGGAACAGCCGCTTGAGGCAGTTGTCAAACCGCTGGCCACAAAACTTGCAGACATAGGGCAATTCGCCACGGTGCTTTACACGCACATGCAAATTGAGCAAATGTTGGGTGAACTCCTTGCGATCGCACTCCTTGCACTGGAACTCTTTCGTGCCCTTGTGACGCGTGAGGTGGACATTGAAGTTGCCCTTTTCGCTGAAGGTTTTTCCGCATTGATCGCAGAAATAGAGTCTCTGCTCTTTTGCATGAGCTCTTTTCAGCGCCGCCCACTTATTTCGGGTGGCATATTTTTCTTCTTTGGTCTTACTCCTTTTGACTGGAGTCTCGACATTTTCCTCATTCGTTTTCTTTTTTAAGCACTGTTTTGACTTTGCCCGACTTGTCTTAAGAAGTCTTTCTCGATTTTTTCGTTTGCAAGATGGTACTCCTTCCATGATTTCATGGTTTCTGCGTTCCCTTTCTAAGACATATTGGTTTTTGAATACCTCTTCTATGATTGTTTGGTTTCCTGATTCTTCGGGTTCCTCATCTGAAAGCAGGGGCTCGTTTTTCACATGGATAATGTCCTCGCACCTCAGGGGATCTACAAGATAGGGAGAAGGCGCGTCGTTAACAGTCTCAGAAACATCAATAGCCTTAGACGGAGTCTCATCCGGTATCCTGGTCCGGGGAGGTGGAATATTTCTGAGCACAACTTCCACTCTAAACTCCTCTTGGCAAACGACTTCCTCCTTTGGAACGCCCAAATCCTTTTCTTGGTCTTGATCCTCGAACCAAGAGTTGTTGATTTTGATACAGCGCTCCCGGAAGGCAATGGCTTCGTTCAGGTCTAGCAGGCAGGACAAACAGATCCTTGATGGTAAGCCAGGCTTCTCACATAACTGCAATTGAACATGGTCTAGCAATTATTAAGATTTTACACTTGTTGGTATGATTCTATACCAAAAGCCCAGTCAGCTTGAGAATGTTGTACAGAACGTCGCTCCCTTCCTTGTCGAAGAGCGTCTTGGCATGCTCCGCCCCCTGGCCACAAGTGCGACACAGCGCGGTCATTTTGCTGGTCTCGGCTCTCTATTTGTTTAAAAATTAATTAGTTTTATTTTGTTAAGCAGTCTGTTTTGGTTTGCTAAGAGAAGTATAACGCATCCGGGTGAATAGTAAAACATTTTATACTACAACTGGTGAGTGACAAACTAACACTGCTCAACAAAAGGGCTATTTTTCATTAAATATTAGGTTCGATTTTCTGTTTCTGTAAAGGCAACGTTTATATTAGTGCTTAAAGATAACATTTAAAGTTTAAAAGTTATATTAAAACTACCCTACATACAAGAAAAAATGTGCAATCTTAAAAATGTATTTTGATTATATCTCAATTCATCTATTTTATTAATATGGATATATTTTTTGTTTAATAATTTATAAGAAAATATTTGGATGGATAACTAACTTAAAACTCCTTGGTCTCTAACTGATCCTTCACCGATAATTTGTTTTCTTGTAATGTTGCACCACCTTTTTCAGGTGCCGCTTCAGAACCCTGCTCATGCCTCCGTTCGTGGCGCAATCTCTTAATGCATATGTCGAATCTCTGGCCACAGTACTTGCACTTATAAGGCTTTTCGCCGCGATGCTTGATCCGCACGTGCAACCTGAGCAGGTGGGCGGAGAACTCCTTGCGTTCGCACTCGTTGCACTGGAACTGCTTCAATCCTGAGTGCCGCAGGAGATGGAGATCGAAGCTACCCTTTTCGTTGAAGGTTTTGCCGCACTGCTCGCAAAAAAAGAGTGCCTGCTCCTTGGCTCTAGTCCTTCTAGCTGCTGCTCTTTCACAGTTCTTCTTCGCTTCATCAAGTGGTGTTGGTTCTTTATATATTTCCACCCTCTTTAACGGTTGACTATCTCGTCTTCCGGAATCTTCAAGCTCTATGTCTGAAAAAAGAGGTTCGTTTTTCACCTCGATGAGATCCTCTTCGCCATTTGACGGATCTAAAGAGTCTTCGGGGGAAAACAAAACGAAATCTTCCTCTTTTGAGACCTTGGAACGCAATGGGATCTGATCCGATTTCCTGTTGCGTAAAGGTGTTATTTTCTTCCTTACTGAGCTCTTGCGTTTTGAAGTACTGACGGGTACTATCTCCACTCTAGGATCATTTTTTTTAGGACTACTAATGTTTGTATCCTTAGTCTTATCTAAAGTGATCAAGGCTTCCTGCCAAAAGTAGTTTGTCCTGATTAATCGTTGGCGAAAGGCGACAGCTGCGTTCAGGTCGAGTAGGCAGGACAAACAAATTTTTGTGGGCACTCCGTACTGGTCGGTTAACTGGAATCGAGCAGGACTACCAATTATTAAGGAAATCTACCTTTAAGACCGCAAAACCTACCCAAATCCCCGTCAGGTCGAGGATATTTTGCAAATAGCCCCTACCGTCCTCATCGAAGAGTTTCCTGCCATGTTCCGCCACCAAACCGCATGTGCGACATTTTATCGGCATTCTACGGATCTTTTTCTTTCCGTTTCCAGTCATATACAACTTATTTATTCATTTTTTTTATTTATGAAATAAATATATTGAATCCATACCAGGCGTACTAAAAACCTATGCAATTAAACAGAGTTGTTGGTTGTTTACATCAGTGGTGACGGACCTCGTAGTGATTGGCAAACGACTTGGAGAGGATGATGGCTGAATGGCTAGTTTCTCACAAGGCAACAAATTATTTGTACATTATTTGAATTATGATTTTTTTGAGTTTTTTTTTTGTATCCAACTCTGCCTACTATTTGTGCTGATTTTAGTGAAAATGACAATTTTACGGCTGTGAGACATTTTTAATAACCAAATGAATAAATAAAAAATAATAAAGTTGTGGTCAAGTAAAAAAAAAATTTTAAGTTAAAAAAAACTATTCTTAATTTAGAAGTATCAAAATGGCACTGCAAAAGATTGATGAATTCCAAAACATCTTATGTGGGAGATATTTGAAAAGAGTTTAGATTCTCCATTTTCAGATTGTTAGCATATAATTGGCCTTTTTTATCAGTTAGCTTAATATTGTAATAATTGTTTTTTAAAATTTAATTTCATCAACTATCGTTTAAGATTATTGTTTCATTGGTTATGTGACTGCAAATTCTTGACGGCAGAATTTTAAACTCTCACGGGCTTGTTACGGAAGATATATTTATGGGATAAATATAAATATGATTGTCTTTATAAATAATAATTTTACTTCTGTTGCAAAATAACCTATTCCATTTCCAATTTTTCAATTGTAAAATGAGTAGAATTAACTTGTATACTAAATGTTGTTAATGATTATAAATTAAATATGAAAGGTTATTCAATGCCAAAGCAAAAATTATATACAGAAAAATTAAGCAAATGAATTTTTGGAAAAGTTACAGAGGTAGTAGTAAAACAAGGAAGGGCAATCCAGTGCCAAAACATAAAACATATAAGGACTATTAAAGTATTTCTAAACCTTATACACATTATGTATAAACAAAATACATTTTTTCTGCTGCAAAAAATCTTAATTGAAAAATTCCTGCTTATCTGATAATATTGAATTTACTGCGAATTGTACTTCTTGAAGGTCCAAGCACTGCTCATTGTCCAGAATGGCGGTTGCTCTTTTCTGATGGGCCTGCGATTGGAAATGCCTCTTCATATTTTTCTTTCGAGAAAAGTTAACATTGCATATATCACAACTAGAAGGGAAAATAGTGTTTCACTGTAATTTAAATATGTACATTTGAATCGGTTTACTTACTAGAAAGCATTCATGTCGGTGTGCAGAATCTTGTGGTGGTTCAAGCAGGTCTTAGTACGGAATTGTTTACCGCACTCATCGCAAATGTATCTTCGGTCTCTAATGTGTTTCATTCTAAGGTAATTCAATTATATTTATAAATCAAATTTATATCAATGCCAAGAAATGCCTATCAACAAAGATACCTAAAACTACGTCTTATTTTTAATTTTATTACGGTTAAAAATAACTTACTGTTCGTGCCGGTTCTTAGCCGTGCTGGTAAAAAACGTATCCTGGCAGAAACTGCACTTAAACGGCCGTTCGCCCATGTGTCGAACTCGCTGATGCAGTTTCTGCAGGTGTATGGACACGAACCGCCTGTCGCAGAAATTGCAGGCGAAATCCCTCTGGCCAGTGTGGCGCAAAAGATGCATCTTTAGGTTGTAGTTGGTCTTAAAGAGCTTTCCACACTTTGTGCACTGCAGAGATTGAGTTTTTCGGGTCCCAATCCTTTTGGCGGGTGGAATGTTCTCAGCTGCCTCCGAAGGCTTTACCGTCTTTATGACCACTTCTGTTTTATTCAGGCACAGCTGAGTTTTAATGTTTATAAACTCTCCTTTTGAGACTCTCAATTGACCGTTGGGAATTGCGTTTCCTTTTGCTAACAAAGAAGTCTCAATTAGAGGTTTTTTATGGTTTTGTGGAAATCTGGTTGAAGTGGGTGATTCTCTAGTTGGTAATTGCTTATAGTCCTCAAATTCTTGATCATTCTCAAATGCCTTGTTATTTTGATAAGGATATTTGGATACGTTACATTTTTTTGCCGAGAGCAACACTTCACTATGGCTTCCTTTTTGTGGTACTTTTAAGCTTTTAAAATCTAAAGCTGTACGATTTAGGTCTAGATTTAGAAAACAATTCGATACCTCAATTCTTTTACAGTTTGCATATTTTAGGCGATTATTCTCATTAAACCATTCTTCGTTGACCTCTGGTTCTTGATCACTCTCATTTTCCCGATATTTCAGTTTGCAGAGATGGTCAAAATCTAAAGATTCTGCATTGTTCAAGTAAGATGGTTTCCATGTTAGATTGTCGACATTTAAAATAGTATCAAATTCCTGTCTTTCTAGTTTATTCTCGTAGTGCTCTGATTTTGCATCACTATCATTTTCCTGATTTTTAATTTTATAGAGATGGTCAAAATCAGGAGACTTTAATTTATTTATGTCAAAAAGTTTAAAATCTCTTGTATTGTCAAGTTTTGGTTTCATATAAAACTTTTCTAATTCCTCATCACTTGCATTTGATTCTGAAATGTTTTCTAAAATAGTTGATAATTCCAGGTCGCAGGAGGAATCTGCATTCGAATTAGTATTTTTCAAGTGAGTTCCCAGATCTGGGTCACTTGCAGTTCTCTTTCTCAGCATTTGATCCTTCTGGTTCCGTCGAATGCGTTTCCTGAACTTAACTTTTGTGTCTGGAATCAGATGAAAACTAGATACCTCATTTTCTTTGCTGTTAGCATTTTTTAAGCCAACTTCTGAATGGACAATATTTTGGTAATAATGATTGTTCTCATTGAACCATTCGTTGTACTCTGTTTCTTGATCACTCTCATTTGCCCGAAGTTTAAGTTTACAGAGATAATCAAAATCTGGAGATCCTGGTTTGTTCAAGTGGGATGGTTTCCATTTTAGATTGTTATTTTTTAAAATAGTACCCATGTAGTTCTCTGATTTTTGATCACTCCCATTTGACTCATATTTGAGTTTGTAGAAGCGATCAGGAGACTCTGTTTTTTTCATGTTAAATAGTTTTAGATCTCTGAAATCACTTGAAGTTTTTATATTATCGATATCTAGTTTGGTATAAAACGCTTCGGTTTCCTGATCACTTGCATTTGCTTCGAGTATGTGTTCTATATTTTTTGATAATTCCAGGTCGCATAAGGAAGCTTCTTCCGAATCCGTATTTGTCATCTTTCTCAGCATCAGCTTCTTGTGGTTCTGGCGAATGCGTTTCCTTAACGTAATGGTCATATTCAACTCTTTTAGACAAGAGGGGCAAATGTGACGCGGTAGGTGCTCCTCCTCTCGTAACTGTAAATGGAGTAATTTTGGGGTAATTTCATTGAGGTATTGACAGCATCAACGCACCGATAGTCCAGTAACAGCTTTTACCTTGGCGAGAACGCCCCGGTTGAATATAATCCTTGGATTCTTGTGGCGTATATATAAACCACACAGACGACACTGAACATCCATTGTGATTTTAAAGTTTTTTAAGTCCATATAGCTTTAATCAGTAACTCCGCGCTTATTTTCGATGATATTCCAGCAGAGAAAACATCCGAATGTAGGTAGTAAAGTTTTTTCTTGCCTTTCCCAGCGTTGCCAGATCATCGTTAATAGAAATAACTGTTTTTTCATTGATAAAAGAACATAACGCGAACCAGTTTAATTGGTAAAATGTTTACTGAAAAAACCTATGTTAACCTTTTAGGTATTTTACAGTTATAAATATCCGCTTAGTTTCCTTAAAAGTTCAAAAATCGTATGTTTAATATTATTTTATTAAAAATTTTAATTTGTAATTATAATTATTTTTTTTAATAATGCTTGGCACACGGTTCTTGGGTCAAAAAAAGTTCTTTGAACCACCGAACCGAACCAACATAGATTTGCGATAGCCTGCATCCCTGGCATTTGTAAAAGTTTGGCGCCCATTTCTGCGTGAAAAGTTAAGCATACAGCTCTTCCTCCATAATGGTTTCGTCATATTCGAAATCCTCAAAAGGCTCTTCCTCGTCCAGCTCTTCGTGTTCCTCATAGTGATCTTCGTCTATATCCTCCAAAAGAGCATCCATTTCGGCCTGGCTCTCTTCCATATCTGCCTGACCTTCTTCCATATAACCAGGACTCTCCTCATTTTCGGGGTCTGAGTGTAATTCCCCTTTTGGATCCTCTGCTAGCAAGTTCTCCCGCTTTCGATGATACTTGGTGGAATAGTGGCGATGCAAAAATTGCGCCTCCTTGAACTCCTTGTTGCAGGTGAGACAGCTTCAAAACAAATTTAGTAGAACAATACGGTTACTAAAATTATTTCTAAATAGTCTCAATAGATATCTTACATGTGGATATCCGGCCGGTTGCTTTTGTGCCCCTCCTGATGTTTGTTGCGACCTTTGTCGCTATTAAATCGTTTTCCGCAAATTCCGCATGGAAAAGACAGCTCGTTTGGATGCACTTGGCTGTGGGAAAGCAGGAATTTTAATGTGGGACAAGAATTATTAAGGAGGTCCAGTCTTACCGCTCATGCCGACAGCGGCTGGGACTATTGGCGAATCCCATGCCGCAGAACTTGCAGATGTATGGTTTTTCGCCCTTGTGGTGAACCCGGATATGCAGCCGAAGCAGCGGCATTGTGTAAAACTTGCGACCGCAATCGTCACACGAAAACTGTTCCTCGAAGTGGCGCAGCTTGTGGTCTTTCATGTTGCTCATGTCGTTGAAGGACCAGCCGCACTGGTCGCACACATATCGCTTTATTGAGCGATCGACCTTGGGGCGGGGTCGCCTCTTTCTGGGTTTGCGGACCGGCTCCCGAAGAGGTGGCGGTGACGGAGCAGGTGGTTTCCTGACCTCCGGCACACGAATTCGCTTGAGCATGACGCGTGGAGATTGACTATTGGGCAGCTTTTGAACATCCCGCATTATTTTCTTGGCCGGTGGCGATTTTATTACGGTTTTCACTTCCATGATAAACTCCTTATTATCCTCCATGTCGCTTATATCATCTTGGACCTCCTGTTTCATCAGAGGATCGTAGTCCACCTTCAGGTCCGCTACGATGCCCTTTAAGACACCCACATTGGTGGCGGATGTTGATGTCTTTGGGTGCAGATTCTCGTGCGTTTTCAGGCAGCGTTGCCGGAAGGCGATGGCATGGCTCAGGTCCAGAAGACAGCAGGAGCAGATGTGCTGAGGAAGCTGCTTTTCCAAAACAATCTGAAAAATTCTTAGTTTATTGATAGTCTAAGGCACTAAACATAAAGGACGCAACCTCCAAGCCCGTGATTTGCTCGATAGCAGTCCGAATGCGATGGTTGCGCTTCTCGAAGATGTTTTTCGGATGCGGCGTAAAGATCCGCTCGCCGCAAATGCGGCATTCGCTGGCCATGACTGCGGGAAATTGTTATTAAGTTAATTTTATACTAAATTGTTGCCAACTTTTTTATGCGCCGGCAGAGTGGTTTGGAAACTAGTGTGACCGTCGCTTGTTGAAACAAAAATCTCCTTTGGCGCGAAAAAATATATCTTCCAATTCGTTTGAGTTTTTTTAAATAGCACAAAAGTACTAGCGATAAAAAATATTTTTATTTTATTTGCCTTTAGCAACAACTTTATAATTTCCTTTTAATTTGCTTTGGACTTTTTAAATAAATTCCCTGATACGGTGTGTACACACTAGCATCAACAAACATCAGCTGGCTTGCTCTTCTTCTTGTTCTGCCAGTCATTTTGATATTCCGAAATATAATGCTACATAGTTATAAACAATTTGCTGTTGCTTCGTTTATTTAAAATGTTTGAGCTGCGCTCAGTTTGCCGAACTTGTGGCAAAAAAGTGAGAAATTCGCAGGCCACCAAACTGAATGAAAAATCCAATTATCATTTAATTAGTTTGGTAGAAAATATCACCGACATGTTTGTAAGCGTCTAAAGATGAGTTATTTTGTCTTCTTTTATTTATAATTTTACCTTATTGATTAGCTGGAGCTCGATAGTGGTATGCCGGATCTCATTTGTAATTTGTGCAAGCTCCAGCTGGACAGTATTTTAAAATTTCGCAACATGTGCTTAGAGGCCCATCAATCCTTTTTGTCCATCAAAAAGAAGGTTTTGCAAAGAAAAGCACTAACTGTTGAGAAACTGCAGGAGGAACAACTGCTCCAGAAGATTAAAGAAGATGATGGTCTCTTAGAGGATGAGCAAAATTATGTAGAAGATGGAATTAAGGAGGGGGATTTACTGAAGGATCAAGAGGAAGAGGAATATCAGGAAGAAGATGCCCAAGACAAGGCGGACCAAAGGGAGGAGTGTCAGGAGGAACATTTCCAAGAGCAGAACTCAGAGGAGTTTTACCAGAGGCCTAGGACGACCCGTGCCCGCAGGTCGAAGCAGGTGATGCACAGTGCTAAGACGTGGATCTGTGACCAGTGCGGTGGAGTGTTCAAGTGCTCCACCTACTTGAAGCTGCACATGCAGCGTCACACCGGGCACAAACCCTTTGAGTGCGATATCTGTCAGGCCAAGTACTACACGGAGAACGAGATGCGCCGCCACAGAATCCTGCACTCCGATGCCAGGCCTTACGCTTGTCGCTTTTGCGGCAGGACTTTCCGGGGATGCAGCAGCAAGGTCGTCCACGAGCGGACTCACACAAATGAGCGGCCCTTCCAGTGCCGACATTGCGATAAAGCCTTTACTTCGACGTCCACGCGACAAAGGCACGAGATGCTGCACGACAACCAGCGGAAATACCAGTGAGTAGGAAAATTCGGTTGAAAAATATGTCTGTAGCACCCAGATAGAAAGTACCACTAGATTAATTTTATTATGAATATTGTTTTTTCCAGATATATATAGTTTTTAATTTCGTTTCTTTTTCAGCTGCGAGACCTGTGACCAGTGGTTCCTGCGCTCCATTCACTTGACCTCACATCAAAAAACCGCACTGCACTGGAGAAAACTTGAAAGTGCTTTGACTGCCTAAAAAGCGGTAAAGCACAATATAAACATAATTTGTAGGTGCTTCGACTAATTTAGAAAGAAGATAGACAATTTAAATTGATTTGACTGCCAAAAAGAAGACGTTTTAAGTTGGTTTTATTTTTAAATTGTGCCTAGAAAAAGGACAAAAAAAATGTATGTTGCATAGATGCCTATGCAATAAATCGCCCACAATTAAAATTTGTAACGAGTAACTTGAAAGGGGAAAAACATAATTTTAAATTTCAGTGCAATGTCAGCGTTGCGTGGCGAAGGCCATATTGGTAGTGGCGAACAGAGAATGACATATTTTGAGGGTTGAATATTGAGAATGTCACTTGTCTTCTTCTTCCTTCCAAACAATAACTATATTATATACTTCTAATCGATTTGGGTGCATTTATTTCTAAGCCATGAAGTACATTTGCAGGACCTGTTCACGAATGGCTGATCCTGGGGCTGCCAAAAACATTTTTGCGCCCACGAGTGCATCCGTTTTACGACAAATTGAGACACTGACAAATTTGCAGGTGAGTGTGGGTGTGTTCAAAAGGTTTCCAAGGCAAAAAAAAAAGAACGGGGTGCCAGCTCAATGTTCTATAACTACTTTTCAGCTAAAAGAGGATGACAAGTTGCCCAAATTTATGTGCCAGGAGTGCCAGCACGATTTGCAGATTGCCATCGACTTTCGCAGAGTTTGCATTGAGGCGCAGGAGCTACTAAACTTGCAGCTGCAGCAGGAGAAAAAGGAGGAGGAGGCCTTTGAGAGCCTGGCGGAGCAATGGTTAAATGAGGAGGAATGCTCATCCAACTCGTCGGATCCACAAGATAACGGAAAAGTAAAGTCCGAAATCCTGAAACACACACAGGATAGAGATGCTAGCAAAACAATTTCAGTTGTTTCAATCGAGCCTGTGATCATCCAGCCAGCTTCTAAGGTGGAGCACCTGCCTAAGAAGAGTCCGGGTGTTCAACCAGAACTCCCAGCGAAAAGACGGTTGTCGGATGACCTCCCATTTTCGGCGGGGCCTCAAAGTCCTCAAGAGATTGAAGCCGTTGACGATTTAGACTCCTCCAGTCACTCGTGCAGCAAATGTGGCCTTGACTTTGACAATCTGGACGAGCTTAGGACACACAAATACCATCTGCACGACGTTCCACAGAATACCAAGTAATCATTATATTATATATATACACAAACTCCATTAACTTCGGCTATTTAAAATATATTGCTGGCACAAAATTCCTTTGATGAAAAGTCTTCAAAGATTTTTTAAAAGATTCTTGAAAGATTTTTCTAAAAGATTCCGGTTTTCTTAAAAATTGCAAAATATATGCCAAACTTTTGAAAAGGTTTTATTAATTTTATTTCTGTTTTAATTTTCATTTTAGAACGAATTATTTTTATGTTTTTTAATTCCGCCCCTTGTTATGGAAATCAAAGACGGATCTTTAATAATTGGATTTTTCTATACGCCAGTTTTAATTCCTCAAACTTACAAAATTACAAATTCACAGTATGGAGATATATGCATTCCATTTAAGAGCACCAATTAATGCTATTTGCCTTTCAGGTTCGTCTGTGACCACTGCAGCGAGGGTTTCCGATCGGCAGCCGCACTAAGAAAGCACTGCCAAATGATTGAACTTCCAGAAACGCACGAGTGCACAAAATGTAAATTGAAATTCCACAACCAGATCTTGCTAGAGACCCATGAGGAGCGGTGCAAAAAGCCGCCGGAGACCCACCACGTGTGTCACCTCTGCGGAAAACGGCTTACCACAGCCTTCAACCTGAAGAACCATCTGGTTCGTCATGCAGGCACTCGGCCCCATAAATGCGACAAGTGCGATGCAACCTTCTCTGCCGCCGCAGAGCTCAGTTCGCACCGGAAAACCCACACATCGGAGCGTCCGTACGCCTGTCGGTACGACTGTGGGAAGACCTTCCGCTTTTGCAGCGCCCGCAGCATGCATGAAAGGTAGAATTCAACCAAAGCTATCTAATCAGTTCACCCATTCTCATCTTTACTATTGTATACCAAAGAATTCACATGGACGCCAGCAAACGTATCTACCAATGCGAATACTGTCCCAAGTCCTTTGTGACCCCGAGCGACTGCAGAACACACCAGAAGTATCACAACTTGACTCGCGATCACAGGTAAGCATTTCGTTTTGAATTAAATACTTTTTATACAAGTTGGCACATTTCATTTTAAAAAACTAGAATATAAAGTAATAAATAAATGAATCAATAGAAATTTAGCATTCTATATAAAATGCAAATGTAAAATAAAATTGATATGCAATTTGATTTTTATAATGTATATCAATCGCTGATAAATTAGCTGAGTAAATACAAAATCCCTCTCTTTTATCCAGCTGCGACACTTGCCGGATAAGCTTCAAGCAGCTTAAGCACTACCAAGCTCACCTGAAATCAAATGCTCACAAGACCCTGGAAGCGCGTGCCAGAGCTGTTAAGAAATGAATCCCTCTTCCCCGCCAGCAGAAATTTGGAAATTTAAAAAGAACTGAAATCAATTTCATCTACTGCATTTTAATATATAAGTACTTAAATGATATTAATAAAGCTTCCTTTTCGTAATCATGTGGACAATCTTATATCTTGCTCATCCTAGAACATCATGGCGTTTTCAATGATCTTCTCGTTGTCGTAGATCTCCTTGGCGTAGCACAAACTGGGATAGTCGAAGGCGGCGCCATAGCGGTTCCTGCATCCGGTGGCGGCCTTTTCTCCCGGAGTATAAACGGGCTGACCAACGATATTCGAGGTGGCAAAGTTGCAGGTCAGCACGAAGTGGTTGTAAAAGTCCCGGGAGAAGCGCACGGCGGCACATCCCACGTGGGTGTTCTTCTCGGCCACGGCGATGGTGAACTTGGCCACAGCCTTGTTGGGCAGCTCCTCCGGGAAGCTGGCTAGGATCTCGGGAGAAGCATTCAGGCGCTCGGCGAACCAGTTCTCAATCTGCTCTTTCACAATCTCAGCATCGCTGTACTCCGTCTCAGCTCCACTGTAGCTAAAGATGGCGTTGTTCTGCCCGGCGTAAGCGAATCTCTCCGTGCTGCGGCATTTGTCTGGGAGGGACTCACAGGTGTACACATTAAGCAGAGCCAGGTGGGATAGCTCCTCGCACCAGGACATCTTGGCCATGCGGATTGCTTTGGGTAAGCCTTCTACTTTCCCTCCAGCCACGTTGTTGCGTAGCTCGTTGAAGAGGGTCAGGATCAGTTTGTGATGTGGTTCGATCTTGACTTTGCGCACATCCTTGGGACAGTTTTCACTGAAGTTCTAAGTACAAGTATAGAATAATACATTTTAGTTCTCATATCAAATTTTTTTTAAGAGATCATCTTAAGAATCCAAATGGTTATAATTTATACATAATATTTTCTTACTCCCTTGTTATTGCAGGCAATATGTTTATCCAGACAAGTAGGGAGAGCACAATAGTCCACGGCATAGGAAATCCCAACCACAGCTAAGAGGATTGCACTTTTAAAAGCCATGTTACTGGTGCTTGGCTAATAGACTTCAACTGAGGAACCATAGTGGATGGGCATGCTTTTATATGGCACCGAAGCCGAGCTAGAAAGCTTGTTCCTAGTCAGACATTCGTCGGAACCCAGCTGGAAAAATAATGGGAAACAGACGCCTACTGCAATTGGATTACTAGCAAAAACCTACTCATAGTTGTCCTATAAATAGAGACTTCTAACAGTCTACGCTTCAGTGCAAAAACAGCAGCGAACATGGCCTTTAAGTCTCTGATCCTTCTCAGTGCCTTGGTGGGACTCACCCTAGCAGTGGACTACTGTGCCCTGCCCACTTGCCTGGACAAGCACATCGCCTGCAACAACAAAGGGGTAAGATGTCCCACAAAAAATGAAATCATCCACTCTTTCCGAATCCTCCATTCAGAACTTCAGCGAAAACTGTCCCAAGGATGTGCGCGAAGTCAAGATCGAACCACATCACAAACTGATCCTGACCCTCTTCAACGAGCTACGCAACAACGTGGCTGGAGGGAAAGTAGAAGGCTTACCCAAAGCAATCCGCATGGCCAAGATGTCCTGGTGCGAGGAGCTATCCCACCTGGCTCTGCTTAATGTGTACACCTGTGAGTCCCTCCCAGACAAATGCCGCAGCACGGAGAGATTCGCTTACGCCGGGCAGAACAACGCCATCTTTAGCTACAGTGGAGCCGAGACGGAGTACAGCGATGCTGAGATTGTGAAGGAGCAGATTGAGAACTGGTTCGCCGAGCGCCTGAATGCTTCTCCCGAGATCCTAGCCAGCTTCCCGGAGGAGCTGCCCAACAAGGCTGTGGCCAAGTTCACCATCGCCGTGGCCGAGAAGAACACCCACGTGGGATGTGCCGCCGTGCGCTTCTCCCGGGACTTTTACAACCACTTCGTGCTGACCTGCAACTTTGCCACCTCGAATATCGTTGGTCAGCCCGTTTATACTCCGGGAGAGAAGGCCGCCACCGGATGCAGGAACCGCTATGGCGCCGCCTTCGACTATCCCAGTTTGTGCTACGCCAAGGAGATCTACGACAACGAGAAGATCATTGAAAACGCCATGGTGTTCTAGTCCGTTCTCTGCATCCGTTAGATAATCATCAATGACTTTTAAAAGTACTATTATTAAGTGAGCATGCAAATAAATAGCTAAAAGAGCTAACAAATGTTTTTTACATACCTTTAGAGACAAAAGACTCTCAACCCATTCCGCAAAATATTGATCGGTTTTGGTTTCGTTTTAGTTTAAATTGTTTTATTTAACTATATCATATCATGCGAGAGGTATTCATAAACTTGTTGTCTGCATTCAACATATTTCGTTTGGATGTCCAACTTGTACAATTAAACACACACAATATCACAATCTTACGCAGGTATACAAAACATTATCTAATTCTTGGGGGCTTAAAATCTCGTGAATACTTTCAAGAGTCCAGCCCTCCAGTGATCCTAACCCTCTTGATCGGTATGAATGATGCAATAAATAGTTACTAATTGCTTAGGTGTAAGTGCGCTAGCCGATTTCATCCCGATTTGTGTTGGTGAGTGAATTTCAGAGAGGGAGGCCGTACAATCAGATGATCTTTAGTTAGTCAGTGATTTTGTACTAAAATGAAGAAGAAATTAAAAAAAGGAAGAGGTAAGATAAACCAATAAGGGAATAAATTGTAAGGTAAATATACGCTGTTCTTTAAAAAACGAGGAAAGGACAATTTAAATTCATAAAATTAGTTAGGTGTGTACATTTTTAGAAACATGATTAAATGTCTTCAATAAAACTTAATAAGTTTAATGAGAAACATAAGGCTTGGATTTGGAAATAAAACTAAACAATTTTTTAGGGATTATGATTCAGATTCGAGGATTCTTGCGTACGAGAGACAACAACTAGAAGTACAGCTAGTATTAACTAAGTAGGAACTGGGCATTACTTTTCCTTGGGCGCCTTGTCGAATAGGTACTCCTTGGCCATGCTGTAGGCCAATCCGATGGTCAGACAACCGACTACAGTTCCCTGGGCGGCCACACGCAACTGCATCAGGAACACACTGGTGCTCATCGTTCCACGGTTGCGGTACTTGTACGCTCCAATTAAACCGGCGGCTACGAATCCGCCAATACCTGTAAGTAAAAGTAAAACTAACTGATTAGTCTGATTATTCACTATGTCAATATGTCGCAGGTTTGTTGTTGCTAGCTGGCTGAATGCAACAGCTGATAAAAGCCAGACGCCGAGAAATAAAAAACAAAATTAAAGACTATATGAATATAGTGATGCCCAACAAGTCACAAATAAGCTTATGATGGTGCTGTTTTGTTAATTTTACGATCAGAAATATTAGGCTTTTTTATTTCATTTAAAAATTAGTATTTAGCTGGTTTCATTTTTTGTTTTTTTTTATTTTTTTCTTATGGAAGTCTACCTATAGAAGTCTTGATTAATAGCCAAATCAAACAACCAGTCGAAATAGCAACACTTGTTAGCGTCAGCTGCTAATTGTCACAAACGCAGACAGTCGAGATAGTGGAATATTCGAACACGCGCCAAGATCAGATGGGTGCGGACGTCACCGATGTTATAATCCACTGCCCATTGCATTTCGCACGAACGTTTGAAATTGCGAAATATTCCTGTTACATCATTCGGTTTCCAGGAAAATGGCAGATTACGCAGCATTAACCGTTATGTCACCCAATTTCAAATACCGAATACCCCGAAATGCCGCTAACCTCGGCAATTGGTTTACATGGCCAAGGTCAAGATTACCCGACTTTCGCGCACACGCACTATATATATATATTTAACAGCCTGTAGCCAAAAGTTTCCATGTGACGTCACGGTGGCCAAACTTCCGCTGTGCGGAAATTCATAAAACTCACCCACTAGCATAAAGGGTGATTCCTTGGCTTTCCTGGCCAATTTGTTGGCCTGAGCGGCATCTTCCTCGCTGTCGAATAAGGACTTGGAGCTCATTTTGAACGCGGGTGGATTAGTTTGGTTTTCCCGTTTTGCAACGTTCGCGAAACTTTCAGCAATGAACAGTGTGGCCAGTGGAAAAAGTATTATTTAACACTAGAGCGGCAGAACTAGCGATGCAACTTCGTTTAAGTAATTTGTTGTTAGTCTACCAAGAATTTTAATTTGCTGTTAGTCCTGTAAAAATCTGTAATCCTTACTGTCATAATAACAAACCATAGCAATAAATAATATGTTCAAAGCAAAGTCTGCCTTTAATTTGCAAGCGATAGTTCCGCTGCCCCGGTCACACTCAGTAAAATACCAAATATTGCAATCAGCTGTTTTTCTGCGCTTTCGACGCTTTCCGCCAGGTGACGCTTTCGCGATTCCTGTCATGACATAAGAAATTGGTATTTTTAAAAGGGAACGGGGCGGACTGCAGAAATCGACGTAGCTTTGCTTTGGTCGCTAACTCTGTTTAAAATTTGTGTGTTTTCAATAAATTGACAAGTGAGACCACCACCGACCCAAATTTGCGAAACAGAGTCGCAGCAATGACGGGAATAATTTCGATCGTAACGAGGCGGCTGCCCCAAACTTTGGGAATGCGAGCCCTGCGGAGTAATGAGGTAAATTTCTGGGTGTACGGGGGGATTCCCGGGTGGAGGGGACGCACCAGGTGTGGATACATTATCCAACGATATTTTTATATCCGTGCATTCACTTTCGCTGCCCGCCTGGCACTCTGCGATTATGTAATTGTATGGGTGTGTGCGTGCGCGGCTGAAAAATGGGAAAAACTTTTGTTTTGGACGCCCACTGCACGTGATCCGTCAGCCGCCATCCGTTCCTAGTTGTGCAATCACTAATTTTCACATCTATCCACCAGCTGAAGCGTTGCATCCGCCAGTATTCCCGGCTAGTCGTCTGCGCCGCACAACAGCAGCAACTGCTCCGCCAAAATGCCTCTAACCGCTGCCAGGAGGCTCCCAGGTAAGTCCTCTACTGTGCAATTGTGACTCCCCATTCAGGATTTTCTATTTATAGGATTCTCACCTGGCAGGGCATCCACACTACGTCGAGCATGTGGTCGGAGCAGACCGTGAATGTACCTCCTTTCGCGGACTCCATCGCCGAGGGTGATATCAAGTAAGAGCGGGCGAAAGACCAGTTATCCAGCAACAGGTTCCTCACTCACTTATTGGTATTCCCACCAACAGGTTCACCTGCAAGGTGGGTGACTCATTCGCCGCCGATGAGGCTGTCATGGAAATCGAGACCGACAAGACCACGGTGGCGGTGCCAGCTCCCTTCGCCGGCTCCCTTACCGACATCCTGGTGAAGGATGGGGACACTGTCAAGCCCGGCCAGGCTCTGTTTAAGATCAAGCCAGGTGCAGCGCCCGCCAAGGCAGCTGCTCCAGCGGCGGCCGCCCCTGCTCCTGCCGCTCCGAAGGCTGCCCCAGCTCCCGCAGCCGCCGCACCCAAGGCGGCTCCCGCTCCAGCTGCCGCCGCCGCTGCCAAGCCACCACCACCGCCACCAAAGGCAGCGGCTCGCCCGCCGCCTGCTGCTCCAGTGGCTGCGCTCAAGCCGGCCGTTGCCCAGGTGAAGGTGCCGCCTGCAGACGGGTCGCGCCAGATTTTGGGCACACGGTCTGAGCAGCGCGTCAAGATGAACCGCATGCGCCTAAAAATTGCTGCTCGCTTGAAGGATGCCCAGAACACATGTGCTATGCTCACCACTTTCAACGAAATCGATATGAGGTGAGTTATGTACAAAACTTTCGAATCTTAACAATGCTTCATCATCTTCAAGTGAAGAAAAAAATTGTATTCCTATAACCTAACAGAAATCATAAAAGCCGATTTTTGAAAACCTATTCATTTTATTTTAAGATCATTAATTTAAAGACTTACATTTTGTAATTTTTTTTAATAACTATACAATTTGCAAATATTTAATATCTGTCGGTTTGAGTTTTGTTATATCCATTTACCAAATATTAATTTATTAATCGCTAAACCATTCTTGCTTTTCCAGCTATGCCATGGACTTCCGCAAGCAGAATCTGGAGACATTCGTCAAGAAGTACGGCATCAAGTTTGGCTTCATGTCCATTTTCTCGAAGGCCAGTGCCTATGCGCTGCAGGATCAGCCCGTGGTGAACGCCGTCATCGATGGCACGGTAAACAGGCCCCCTACCCGCCCTTCGCTTATCATTTGCTTATCGCCTGTGACGTAGCTTGATAAGACAAATTATTTAAAGTGCTCTTATCAGGCAACAATTAAGCTTTTTATGTCGGTTTTGTTTATGTAATTTTCACTAGCGCTGTGACAAATGTACAATTTTCTGTTGCCAAGCGCTCATAATTCCTATGATTTTGCAGGACATTGTGTACCGCGATTACGTGGACATTTCAGTGGCGGTGGCCACGCCCCGCGGCCTGGTGGTGCCCGTCATCCGGAACGTGGAGGGCATGAACTATGCTGACATCGAGATCGCCCTGGCCGGTCTGGCCGACAAGGCGAAGCGGGATGCCATCACCGTGGAGGACATGGACGGCGGCACCTTCACCATCAGCAATGGCGGAGTGTTTGGATCCCTGATGGGCACGCCCATCATCAATCCGCCACAAAGCGCCATTCTCGGCATGCACGGTATCTTTGAGCGGCCAATTGCTGTCAAGGGAGAGGTGGGTTTTTTAGTATATTAACATCATTTCGAGATGTATTAATAATTTTTTTAACACCAGGTCAAGATTCGCCCCATGATGTATGTCGCTCTGACCTACGATCACCGAATCATCGATGGACGCGAGGCGGTTCTGTTCCTGCGCAAGGTCAAGGCTGCTGTGGAGAACCCAGCGATTATTGTAGCCGGATTGTAGAGTGAATTGTCTAAAAACGCGTCCACGGCCTTCATTTGATATTAGCCTCTTTAATTTGAATCTAATTTTTTGGGTATTTATTATTTTAATTTGCGAGCGTCACAAAAAAAAGAGAAAAAATAATTGAACTCTACTCGCAGCAGCGGAAGTAGTCAAAATAAATTAAACGTGGATCTTTTCATAAAACTAAACTGTGCACTGAATGTTTATATTAACGTAAGACTCTGCGATGCAATGTCGTAATAAAACAATGACGATTATTGACCAACCTCAATGCATGCGATTTTGAGTCTTACCTCTTAAGCAAACTGCACTGTCTAAGTAAGCGATTGTATTAAAGAATCGTTTTTAATGGGAAAGAAATTGAAGAGCTAGGAGCAATTAAAGGCTTACGTTATCTTATCTTGAACAATTTGCGTAGTTATTTCCAACTGCAAACGTTTCTTTTATTTACTCTGTCATATGAGGTGGGCTTTTAATTGGATTCAAAGAAAGGCAATCGATATTCGAATTCTTTTATTTGAATAGTTGTTGGATGTTTTCGTTATCTGCGCACCTTGGCAAAGCTTATTTAAAAACGAGAACGGAAGCCAACTTTAGCAATCCGAAGTTTTAATATCCTTACACCGAAAATTAATGATAGCGTCCACAGTGCTTCTGTATGTATATGACAGTATAAGTTATGACAGATTTAGTCAACGGATCGATCCGAAAAGGTAAAGAAACAGACGGACAGACCGAGATGGCTATATCGACTCGTCTAATGATGCTGATAAAGATATGAATTTCCTTTAGAATCGGAAATGTCTCAGGCATTTTGTAATGCCCGAAAAAAATTCAATCATGTTTAAGTTCTTTGATAAATGTTGGAATGTCATATTCGTTTTAAAATTTCCAACCATTTGCAGCTGAAAAATTTTAATTTTTTCTAAATTTCCCAAAATATTAGAAAATTGGTAAAAATAAATAAAAAAATTAGACAGAACAGTGATTATTTTGGTTGTATATCTTATCAACGTTTGAATAAAATTACTTTTAATGTCTAATGTTGGAATGGGTTACCTCTTGGAATTTTTATAAAATTTCCAATCGAGTGTTCGGGAGTTCGGGATTTGGGTTTTTAATTCTATCGCTAACTCTTCAAGTTGTCTTTGGATGGTTTCAACTGCTAGGATCCTTTATTTATCGGTATACATTTGATTTGATAGGGAATCAAGTCATTTTAATATTTAAATATTTTAAATTATAATTGATTTTAAATGTGCCCTTGCGGCAACAGTCGAGTTTACTTCAACAAGTATCAAAAAGGGAGGATTCATTTGTAAAATCAATGATATCGCGCAAAGCTGTAAAAATGAGAACTTTATTATTACAACATTTTCATATGTTGCCGCTATAAAAATTAGTAATTAGTAATTAAATAAAACTCGAATTTTATTGTTTTGTTATTAGAGCAAATTGGCTTGTACAATTTTATTGATTTTTGTTTGATAATAGTACTCACACTATTTATAATGTTTACAATATTTGTATGCTTTTGAATTTGTGTGATTGAGTTACAAATTTAATATATATGTTCGTATAATGGATTAAGTGTGATTTTAATGTTTTGTGCTAAATAATACATTTGATTACATGAATTTTGTTTTTAAAAATACTTATTGAACATGTTTTTTTTGTAGATCTATCAGAGATTGATTAACACAGTTTTGATTTAGTTTGGTTCTTGATGTTTATGTTAAGTTATGTTTTTCGGACTTTTTTTTATACATTTTTGCTTATCACATGAGTCGAAAAAAATAAGAACTGAATCTGACGACGATAATGATAGTAGGAGAACATCGAAATAAAATATATAAAAATATACTTGTGCGTAAATGAATGTATAGATAGAATCACATAAAAAATGCGACAATCGTTTCGTCTAAAACATTTCGCAATTCGATTGCGAAATTTCGAAGAATTGACATTTTAGGCAAAAGGATTGGCATTATCTACTTTAGTTTTTTTCTTTTGCTTTTTGTGGGTTTTTGTGCAATTTCTCGAATTAATTTTAGCTTAACTAAGGGGATACAGAGTGTAGTTACGTGGTACAATTCGCGCTTAATCGTAGTTCCTGATGATGGTGCGTTTTCGGGTCTAAAGGGGCCTAAGTTGAAGCTAACGTATATCTTTTTGATATGCCCGATGGGGAATTTCCATTATCTAGGGGTGGGGTTCAGGGTCTAGGGCGTTGTGGGCGGGGTCAGTCGGCACTGCACTCGGGAAAGTGCAACGCTCTTAAGTCTAAGCAATTACACTAGGTATCCCCAACCTTGTGTCCGAAATGTTTTCTTATCTTTTTTCCTTTTTTTTTCTCCTGTTCTGGCTATAGAATATATATATATTCTCACTCCTTTCGGTTGGCTTATCTCTCTCTATCTATCTCTATCTGTCTCTCTCTTTGCATAGATCTTGGTCGGGAAGGATATGCGTTTTTATCTTCTTTTTTTGTTGAATGTCTTTCAATAGAACTATTGTACAAGATTCCATTTGCTACTCTTAGTGGGTGCTTCTCGCGTCTGTCTCAATGATTTTGCAAATTTCCAAATTGCCCGAAACTTTCTTGGTTACTTTTCTTTTTTTTTTTTTTAAGTTTGTCCTACTAGCCAAAGGTGGAAGATGCTGCTCTCTGACGGTGGGTTGTGTGTAAATAAAATTCATAACTAAATTTCTCGGCCGGATTCGGGGGTTTGAGCTTGCTAACTGCTTCTTCGCTGTAAATTTGGTTGCTTGAATTTGCTTTTTTTGGGCTTCGGCTTGGGTGTGTTTTTATGGTCTTGCTAGTACAAGTCGGAAATGTGTAATTTCATAAGACGGTTTTTGCATTTGCATTTTCTTGTTTGCCAAGTCTCTGGGTGGTGTTCTGTGTCGTCGTGTCGTCATCGTCATCGTGGAGTCGGCTGCCACTTGGCCGGGCAACTTTTGCCATGAATTTATAAATCAAAACGTTCTGCTGTCTAGTGGCCATTGACTGGGTGCTGCGGAGTAAGGGTTTCGGATTGGGTGTCTCTTCTTGGCAGAGGGTCTATAGTGCTCAGTTCTGGTCCTGGTCGTGCTCCTCATGCCAGCCATATTTTATTTATTGATGGCAATTATGCCTCGACCTCGGCTATTGCCAGTAGTTTATATAAATTTGGAGTTTTGTTTGATGTGCTTTCAGCTGCATGAAGCTGGATGATGATGGTTCGAACTTTTGCCAAAGAAACCAAGTCTGACCACAATTTCAAAAGGGAGTCAGGAGCTGGCTCTGTAGGATTGGGTTTGAGTTTGAATTTGAGTTTGAGTTTGAGTTTTCTGTTTTTCGGCTGTGCTTGTGACACTCGTCTCGAATATTACTTAAAGTTGCGGTTCTGCTGGCGCTTCTGCCTTCATTTTGTTTGAGATTTTGATTTTGATTATAATTTTGATTTCGAATTGGATTTGGGTTAAGTTGTAGTTGTGTCTTCGACTTTTGCATTTTTTGTGCGGCGGCCTTCGGGCGAAAGTAATGGGCTTGAGGCCTCTCCTGGGGCGGATCAAAGTGGTCATCGCCAAGTTTTTAGAGGATGGATGCTGCCTGGGAATGATTTTGCCGGCTCAACTGCTTTTGGTTTTCTGGTTTTTCAACCCCCTTCTATGGAGAGTGTTCTTTGAAATCGCGTGCCTTTGTTTTTGTTTCTGTTTCAGTTTCTGCTTCAGTTTTAGTTTCAGCTTCAGTTTTTGTTCTTGTGGATTTGGAATTTCATGAGAGCTGGGAATTGTTTTGTTTCGCTGTGATTTATCTGCCGCCTGCCGCCCGACTCGCCCTCGTCCGCCATTTGTAAGATTTTGGCCAGAAAGTTGCCAGGAGTTTCCCTAACCATGTTCCTGTTCCTGTCGCGTCTTCTTCGCCAGCTCCAGCTCGGAATTTTGGTGCTTTTCGGTGGGCTACGTTTTTGCTCCTGACATTTGTCGCATTAAAACTTCCGCAGTTTCTTGTAATTTATAATACTGCCTTTTTGAAATTTAGCTGGAGTTTTTTCACTCATTTTTGAATTTTGGCTTTGTTTTGTTTCTGAATTTAATGGGTGGGCTGCGAATACTTAATCATCTTAATGTGGTAATAATTATGCACCGAAGGTTCCTCGAATGCTGCGACTTCTGAGCTGAATTTGTTATATTTTCGGTTTATTAAATTTGAAAAGGCTCCGGTTCAATTTGTGTATTTTCGTATTTTCTTATTGTCATTTAGATCATTCGTGTTTTTTTTTGGCAGAGTTTGGATTTTGGCTAGAATTTGGTTTACCTGGACTGTTAAAATACTTTAAATTTAAATTTGGTATGAATTTGGAGTTTTGTGGCCGGTCAGTGGTTGAATTTTGTTTTTAAATTTTGGTTTCAGTTTTAAATTTTGATGATTGCCAGAGGAGCCGAAAGTTGAAATTGGAATTTTGGATTTTGGGTGGCTGGTTCTAAAATAAAATAATTTAGATAAAGAAATATTATTTTTTTGTAGTAAAAAGAAAGACCTTTTAGTTTAATAAAATTATTTTTGAAATATTTCTTCTAATTTTTGGATGTGTTTAATATATATAGCTTCTGTGCATTTATGTTCAGATTTGGAAATATTCCTTTATATTTTTTGTTGAAATATTTGGTTAAAGTCTAACTTATGTGAATGTTAATGGATTTAGATTTTTATTGTTTTTTTAGTATATTAAAATTGTATTTGATATTTGTAACATTTGGATATGGAGCGAAAGTTGAAGTGAAAGTTTAAAATGGTAGTGAATTTGTTACTGAATTTAGTTAGCAAAATTTAAATAATAGTACTTTTTTTTTTTAATTTAAAGTTATTAAAATATAACAATTTGAAAGAATTGGATTTATGTAATGTAAATGGAGTTAATTCAATTAGTATCAGATCAATGAATTTGTATGTACTTATATTTGTAAAATTTTGTTTTTAAAAATTGGATTTTAAACATTTTATTTCCGTATACAGAAGTGAATTTTAATATAATTGGTTCTAAATCAAATTTCGTTTAGAAAGTTTTTAAAATTTAAGTCTAATTATCGAAGGATTTTGATTTTTTACATTGCCTTTTAATTTTATAGGTAAAATATTTTAAAAATAGCAGTCTTAACGGGAATTTGAATGAAGTTAGTGATTTCAAATTATGAAAGTATCAGAAATGATTTAAAAAAATATTTGGAATTGGCTGATTTGGCCCTTCAATTTTGTGAGATTGCAAGTTTTAGTCTTTTGGTTAA